GTGTGACATAAGGAATAAATAATTCTATGTGATATATAATTAAATAATGTAATATAGATCACATAATTAATATGAAACATGTAACTCTATTCAACTGATAAAATTAATGATAATAATCCCCAAACCCAAAGACTTCCAAATAAAAGTAGAATGACTAAAGCAAAAAATACCAATAGTGATAGGTGCCTTGGGTGTAATCCCAAGCCATCTTAAACACTATTTGAACACCATTGGCATTGACAAAATCACCATCAGTCAATTGCAAAAGGCAGCTTTACTTGGAACAGCTTATATCTTGTAAAGGTACTGTACCTTTAGTAACATCAAATGACAAATCAGCCCATCTAGATTCTTGAGAAAGACCTGATAGCTGGATAAAAATGTCTAATTCAGTCTAAATATCTAGTTGACTGTGTGATGAACCATAATAATAATAGATTAGAATTTATCAATTCATACTAAATATTTGATATAATTAGATATATTAATTATAGTCATTTAGATTATAATTAATTTTTCATTCACCAGCAATGGAAATTAAATCATTTTTAGTTTTTGTTTAAACCTCACCCAGCAACTGCATACTATTCACATGTTCAATACAGTCCTTGGCATAGACAAAGAGATATGCCCTTTGATAAAATACACTAAATAAATGCCTGATATCCTATGGCATATTTAATGGACCCTCATTGGATATCCTCCCTTACTGTAGTTAAACATAATTTTAACAGTTAGTAATTCCATCTCCATACATCAAACATTCTTCTTTCTACACAACAAGCAGACTAATTTGCCTCATTAAGATGCTTTTCCTTGTTTACTTGTAATATGAAGGCTTAACTGCTGGATTTACAGATGTTTTTTGCGAGTATATCTGAACATGGAGTGAGAGAGTGTGTGGGATGGATGAGTATGAATAAAGGCACTGATGCCTTTGGTCTTGTCCATCATCATAAGCCCTTCTGCATCCATGATAAAGAGTGGTCCATTAGATGACAATGCTTAACTGACTAAGAATGAAAGAAATTCATAACAAAATACATTATAAAATAAAATGAATATGCACTGATTTTGCATATGAATGAAATGCAAATATTTTAGCTTTCACTGATAGAGAAAAAGAATTCTTGTCCACATCAAAGATGCGTTGACAATGTTCAAACAAAGGAGAGTATTTTATGCTTTTCCACTTTCTTCTATTGTACTTCAACACCTCTATTCCAAAAAATTATTTGCTTTTTAAAATCATAAATAACAAGTATATGTTGTTCTCATCATTTTTCAATTAAGGTTGCTGTTGAAAATAGTTTTAATTAAAATACTACCAACTGGAAGAACAAAATACCAAAACAAAACTAAAACAGACTAGACCAAAAAACAAAAAAACAAAATACTGTATGTTTGAATTCTTGAAAAGTGAGCATAATTTTATTTATAGTTTTATACTTAAATTTCTTCATTTTCTAGACTTACATTATACTGAAATATAATGTCATTTCAAAATTATTATGATAAAAAATGGTGAAAGGCTGGAAAATGCTATGAATAGAATGACTTAAAAAAATGATCATCCTGAGCCTCATTGTGCCAGCCTGATAGATGTTCAGGCCCTCTAAGAGCAGGGCACCATCTTCAAAATGTTTGGTCTTTTCCTCTTTACTTTCTCCACCCCCAGTGGTGTGATATGTGGGTGCAAGGGTGCATCAGAATCAGATCTGCACCTGAAGCTGTTTGTGCCATTCAATAAACTCACAGCTGGGTATAAATCTTCACATTGCAATTACTCTGGGGAGATAGACAGAGAAAGGCCATCAGCTTCACATAGGCATCAGTTTTGTTTTTCAGCTGATGTTCTGAATTGTTGTGAACACTTTCTTGCTAGGACTCACATTAGTTTGGTTCCCTCGGGGAAGGGGGGAAAGGAAATACAGCCAAATATCCATGCTGCTCTCAAGGTCAACCAGTTTTATTAGTGGATTATTCAGGAACTTATTCTCAGATCAGCCTATTCAGAATAGTAGTATGTCAGGAAATACACTGGGGTTTCTGCTCCTGGTGTGAAGACAATGTTTCTGCCAGTATGGAAAATGGATTTTGTAAGCTACCTGGAGTTTGCTGAGGTGGATGGTTGTAACAAATTTTAATAATAATAAATTAATATCATTAATAATCATATTTTCAGAAAGTGAGTAAAGTGATCTGATAACAAGAATGCTAATGGAAAGGGTGTTAATATGAAGCAACAAGGGCAAAAAAGGCAGATTATCGTAAAGCAGGAGAAGCTTGTTTATAAAATGTGACTGGAAACATGGGTTTTGATGGACAGAAAGCTGGATTTCAAATGACTTATAAAACACTAATGTGATCCTACAACCTTGTTAGTGCTGTCTGTTTTACCTAATTCAGCAGCTGATAGCATCAGAGGACAATACATTGCTTTCCCTAGTGATGCCGGACTAGTCTGAAGGATGTTGTTTCTGTCTTGCCTTGGTTTGCAGGATGTTTTCTTTTTTCCTCTTTTAATACTAAGGTAACAGGGACAAATAGTGTTTTGGGCAGGTACATTATGCTGGGTAGTTTAAGGATAACATCAGAATTTATTGTAGTTCATCATGTACACTGTTGTGTGCTCAGCTAGGTTCAATTGTCACAGAGTTCCAAAGCATACCTACTCTATCATTGTCTTCAGTGCAGAAATAAGCACTTACATATAGCAGTGACTGCTTTTCTAAACCCAAAACAATAGAGCCATCATGAGCAAAGCTAGAATGGAGCTCAAGGTTCTTCGTTTTCTGGTTGCCAATATATTCTGAAAGCAATTACAGGTACAGCTAAACTTACAACCATAATGGAGCCCATCATAATTTCCATTATCGACCATGATGGCTGTAAGTCAAGGCACTCACCAACCTGACTTTACAATCTGGTTTTGCAGCAATTGTTAAGTGAATGTGGTAGTTATAAAGCAATTATATTAATTTATTCATTCCTATGGGTGTTTTTTTTTTGGCAAAAATCAGCTGAAAAGCTTGAGAACAGCAAAAAAAAAAAAAAGTAAATTGCAGTCACATGAATGTGGAACATTACAACCAGCCATAAAAGTGAGCAAGGACCCAAAATGTAATCATGCAAAACAGAGGTATGTTTGCCACTGTCAGAATTCTAGAACCTTTTATTGGGTCTGGCATAACTTTGAATGGTCACTAAATGACCAGTTGTTGCGCAAGGACTACCGGTACAGCAATGTTCAGGTTGCATAAATTCTCAGATTACCTGAAGCTCTCCCATATGTATACATTACAAAATATCCTTTTAACACAAATTCCTGAGTCCTGTATTTCACACTATGCCAATGAATAGGGTATATTTGTGTGTGCATCTACATAGTGTAATTGATAAGCATTTATTTCAAAAACAAGTGTAATCTGCATATTGTGAGCATGATGTTTTCTCCACATACAAGAGGAATATTCTGCTATTTCATGCTGAGAGAAAATAATACAACAGAATTAGTAAAGACTGACTTAAATCCCTTAGAGAAAAAAGACATATGATAACAATGTAGTAGCTAGCCTTCTTATTGTTGTGGATAAAAGTCTTGTTTAAAATTATTGCTTTGCTAGAAGCTACACAATGACTGCATGATATGTAGTGGATAATTCTGAAATAAAATCTAATCCTGACCGTTGAAAGTAAAAGATCACTAACAGATCTAAATATTCAGTCTGCTATACAAATGCAACTACTTCCATTACAGACTCCATGTTATCATAAAAGGAGAAAATTGTAAGTTGCATCTAAGAGACAGATGCATTTTGTATGCATTATGAAATGACAGAACTAGTGTTAAGTACAGTCAATGACTGGTGACATGCATGGGAAGAAATATAAATAATCATGATGAGCTGCCATACAGAAGAGTTGTATGGAAATGCTATCTATGAAGAGCTTTGCTATTCTGAAAAGTAATACGTCTAAATGCTATTACGATTAGGCCTTCGTAGGGCAGTTTGGATTCCCCTCAGCAAAATGTCATGCCATGGAAGCAAAGTGACTCTCCTGAGGCCAAAAAGTGATGTGATTTGCCTCCTCTGACTATTGCAAATACCAGTCAAGGCAGACCAGCCAAGGGATGCAGCTTCATCAGAATGAAGCACCCTCTCAAAGATCTATACAGCTTGCTTTACTATACAAGCTCTTTGTGCTGATGTGAAGTGGAGATATCAATAGATTTATTTTCCAGCTTGAGCTTGCTGATAATTATCTACACGGCCTAGGTGTTTTACTGAAACAACCAGTGATTGGTATGCTCAAGCTGGCAGAAGTGCTGTTTGCTAATATGAGAAATGAAACAGACCAGACTCAGAAAAAGGCTTTAGTCAATTGTGCTTGCATTGTGAAATTGATGTAGCATACAAATGAGCAATAATTCCAATATCTGAAACCATTCCTTCAATATATTACCCAGAGATATAACTGTTCTCTTATTTTACTAACATAATTTATTGGCCTTCTCTTCTTCTCTGAATATCCTTTTGTTTATACCAATATAAGCATGGAGAACATAAAGATAATGTTTTCATCATCAGTGAGTAAGAAAAGAAATTACCTATCAAATTATCTTATCCTGAAACTATTAAAAAAAAAAGGATTTCCAGTGCCTAGGATCAGTTATCGCTGTCACATTTTCTGTTCATGTTCTGTTGTCTTTAAATAATGCCTACCCACACAATTGCTGAAGTGAAGTATGTAGGTACAAAGCTATCCAACTTGCTTCATTACAAAATCTTCAGCTCAGAAAGTAGCCTAAGCCATTTTATACAGAACTTGAGGAAGCTCGGCGTTAGGGTTGTGTGTTTCTTTTATGTTTTCTATACTTCTACTTAAAAAACAGTTCAGACATTCAAAATATTTCATGCACTAGGGTATTACTTTTATGGATCCTGTAATGGTATGTCCCTGCTATGATTTTTTTTGTTTGTTTGCTTTCCACACAGATAGACTCAAGACAACAGATTGCAAGTAACTTTCAACACATGCATTTGCAAGCATACAAATTCCAATAGAGAGAGGTGAAACAGGCTGATCTTTTGTGGAAAGTAGGAGGGAAGGATGTCATGCTTCGCCCAAAGGCCTATCTGGAAATTCCCACCACCCCTTTAGGTGACAACAACCACAGTGGCAGTGACTGTCTTTCAAGGTGAGTGTCACATGTCTTCCCAAGGGTGTTTCCAGGTCTAATATCACATTTCACTGTGTTCAATTCTGTTCCGTTAAGCTCTCATCACAAAAACAGAACTGATCTCTCCAGATCATTTGTGCTTATTCCTCAAGAGCGTCTTGAGTCACCATCATCATCATCCTACTGCAAATGGTCTTACCATCTCTTTTTTTTTAACCAAATTCTACAATATCTGCAGTAATATTTCCCTGTTGGTAAGAAATATCCATGTCAAACTCCAGATTAGTTGAAGAATTTTGTGCAAAATAAAAAAGATACTTATAAAATATAAAAGATGCTCTTGCCTCTTTAAAAAAAAAATCAGTGAAGGCATTTCAGCAAGGATGAACATCATGCCTACATTCTTGAAAGTAAAGTTAACAGAAAGACATAAAAATGTTATTTAATTGTCAGGATTTCCACACACACAAACACACATACACGCACACTTCTAAACCATAGTTCAGATTTATTTGAGAGATCAATGCAAACTAATATCATATAGTGAAATGGGGAAAAACAGGTTGTTGATTTGTATACATAAACATTTTCTGGGTTTAAAATCAAAATGCTTATTATTTCTTCCTATTTGAAGCTGATGTTTTATGAAAATAATAGAAATACGATAACAGGGTTTTATTTCCTTCTTATTTTTCATTAATATTTTAGAAATACATTAAATGAAACAAATAAAAATTCCTGTTAGGAAATATAAATATATTTTCTGTCTGCATTCAGTCAACCCTGCCCACAGCCACACTGATGAGCGAAGACATTAACTCCCAGACCTTTTAACATTCAGCTACAATGTTACCTTGTTTTGCCTCTTTGGAAAATGTCAACAAATGTCACTCAACATCTTATACTTTGCTTTATTGTATTTTGACATTATTTAATGTACACCCAGGAGTGTCAACTCAATTAATGAGGAAAGTAGAACAACAAATAAAACAAGATAAATCTTTTGTCTAAGAATGTAAAGTTCCAAATTTCAAGCCAGAATATCCATTTGCAGAGAGGGTAGCAGTATGTAGTTTGCTGTGTTCTAGCATATTCTAGTCTTTTTAAGGAAATGTATAAGAAGCAGGCAATGTTTAACGTAAGAATCTTCAGGAAATATCATTAGGAAAAAGTATTTGGAATACCGTAGCTTTCCTTGTGCAGACTTCACAAAGATATCTCCCAAGAGATGCTAAGTTATACCTTGTGCTGTAATGCATTGTACAATGATACTGCTGCTTGCTTACTACTGCAGAGGCCATTTCCAAATGAGTAGTGGTTTAAAGTACCAAAGTAAAAACTGAGAGACTGTGGGTTCTAGCCCTATCTTAGACATGAAGCCAACTGAGTGAGTTTGGACCAGACATTCTCTATTAGCCCTAGGAAGAAAGCAATGACAAATCACTTCCCAAAAAATGTTGCTATGAAAATTTCATAGATCAGTTCATGTAGTCACTCCATTTCCAAAGTTCTGGACATCTCCAGAAACATCCTTAAGATCTATAATTGGGCTGCCTCTTCACATGGACATTTAGAAGACCTGAACAGTCCAGTGGTGATTCTAAGGAAAACTGAATGTTGGCCTAAGTGTCCACATGGAAGCCTTTTTCAGATTTCCATGCACAAAACTTTGAGGGGAATGAGAGAAGAAAATGAGAGAAAGAGAAGGAATATGAATTACAGTGCTACTTCCTTTCATTTTTTCAGCTCAGTTTCTGAATAATAACATTGAAATGGCATTTTAATGAAATATGAGCAGTAAGGAATGATTTCCCAAGCAGGCTAGAATCACTAAGAAGATTCTCTGATTCCCCTTTCAAAAAGAGAACCCTTGCTGGTATATTTGGATGGATGGCTTAAAGGAAAGCAATTTTAAAATGTAAATGTTGTAAAGTGATATTTTTACTTGTTCTCTGATATATATATATTTAATTTTTTAAGGAGTCATGTTAAAAAACATTGTTTTAAGATAGTTTTCTAGTTACTTTTTTATTAACCTTGAAGGTTAGGCTGAATTTTTCATAAGAATTTTTTAAAAATATTTGAAAGGCTACATTTTTATGACCATATTGAAAAAAAGTCTACTGGAAAGAAAATTTCTAATTTGAAGGCCATGTATCTTGTATCTTCCACATCCTTCCTTTTGATGTTTTCAAAGAAAAATATGCAACATGTTCAAACAAGTATTTATCTCAACAAAAACCAATATTGCACGTTATAGACCTTACAAGTATATATTTGTTTATATCATTCATAATTGTTATAATTAGTATATTATTCTTCTGTTTCTAGATATCCACAGTTGCAACATATTTGTATTTATTATTGACTGACCTCATATTTACTGTTTTGTTAGAGCTTGCTAAGTGTCCTCTGGCATTCATGGACTATAAAAATCTTCTCTAAATTTATCTCAAGTTTTAATATCCCAGATGAATAGATTTACAGTATTTCCAAATCAATGTGTTATGTTAGGGAGACAGAAAAACTGTAGCATGATGGAAATAATAACATGAAGGGTCCTTGGTCGTATCTCAGCTTGATTGTTTTCTTATAGAAGTTTCATTTCCCAAAGTAAGTAATAGCATCAGTGTTAGTAGGGAGTGGGGTTTGCTCTCAATTTACTCACTTTCACTTTTTACTAGCACTAATGATGTTACTTAGTTTGAGTAATGAAACGTGTGCAAGAGAAATGTAGGAATAAATCAAAACAACAACAACAATGTTTACCTGAAGAACCAACATGTCCCTATTCATTTCTGCAACTCAACAAAATAATCAAATGAACATTGATAAAGCATTGCACAAACAAACAAACAAACAACAAAAGCAGCCTGTGTTGGGTGACTGAGTTCTTCTGCTAAGCCAAAGAAGAGGAAACTCAGCATCATAAGTACAGCTACTTGTATAAATTATGAATATCCCAATACACATGTGAAAATGGATGCATCAATAATAGTTATAATACCTAGAAATATGCACATCTCATCCCAGCAGGAAATTCCAATTAGATAACGTGTACTTGCTGCGTAGATTTCTTTGATGCTAACAGATGATGAACAATGCCAAGGCTCCTACTTTCCTTTCTTATGGTTCTTTAAACTGACCTTAGACTGCATTTCTGTCTGAGCATTACTTTTTTAAAGCAAGAAACATGGTCTTCCAGATAAATGAGACTCGGCACATTTTGTGGGTGTAATATCCTATTAATGTGCAGAAGCTCATCAGTAAAATAATACAGAAGAAAAATGCTGATGCATCTTGCATGCAAAGATAGCTTTCTTAAGGTTGCTGTGTTAACATTCATTTGTATACCATGAATTTGGGAGGGTGAAGTACAGAAATGTACAGTAGGAATTGAAAGCAGGGTGAAACATGTTACAATGGTAGATTTAATTTTGAAATGAAATGTATATAACTAGTAAGTAAGCATATTTTTCCCAGTACTGTAGATGCAATTGGGTTATATTAAATGAAGTTATTATCATCAGTAAAGATGACATTCAATAACTGAACTGATCACAAGAGTCCAGAAAGAGAAAAAACAAGCTCCAACAGAGATCACTAAGCACAAATGTTGAATTACAGAACACTAGAACTGGCATTTCCTTTCAGCAGAAAGACCAAAAGCTCAAGACTGAAAGTTAGTCTGAGATGGAAGATGGACTGATTTTGATGATGCCCCAAGGAATTTTGTTGCAAAAAGATAGGACAATCTATGGAAGAACAGAACTGCAAATCTTTAGATCAGTAATTGTTGCAGAGAAATCTGTTTTTCATTCATTCATAGGCTGGCCTGATCCATGATAGTGACCTTTGAGAAAATGTCAAAATGCTAAAAGGAGGTGTGTCTTAATCAGCTACTCGATGTTAATGAACATCATCATATCAATGAAAAGTAATATAAATAGATAACTTCCCAGGTTCTTTTTTCTACCATATGCATTTAGTTGATATTTTAATAAATGCATTAAACTGCTGTCTAGCACCAGTTTCACCTTTTTTTATGTGGATGTCTCTGAGCTTTGCACCATCAAATTACAGCCTTGGGTTTTGTTTGGGAGAATGACCACCTGCCTAGAAAAAGGACTAAGGAAGCTGGAATTGGGGCAGTTTCAGAGGAAGGTAAAGAATCTTTGCAGAATGAGCCTATTGATCTGTCATACCCATCTTGTTAGCCCTTTTGTGAATATGTAAAGCCATTGTGGCATCTCCAAATGATTGTCTAGGTCATAAAGGCTAGAAGATGTACTGGAAAAAGACATGCATGTTTGTTTTGTCTTCTTGTGCTCTATTATAAAATATAAATAGCGAGTTGCAGAACATTTATGTTGCCTTTGCAGTAGAACAGGGGTTTTCAAACTTGGTGCTTTTATGACTCATGGACTTCAACTCCCGGAATTCCTCAGCCAGTGTGCCTGGCTGAGGAATTCTGGGAGTTGAAGTCCATGAGTCATAAAAAGGCTGAGTTTGAAGACCCCTGTAATAGAAGATCTGAAAAGATAAAGAGTGCAACTCATACATGCTTTGCTTTAAGGATACTTTTTTTTTAAAAAAAAAAAACCTAAAAGACTCCAGAGGAAATATGTAATTTGGAGGAGACAGAATTGAGGTTGACTGATTTATTTTTCCTGGGATGGGCAAAACCTCCAAAATCTAGATTGGATTTTAAAACAAAACAATCAAATAGTTTTGTCATAGCCCACCCCTTTTCCCATATCCAATTCTAATTGAGGACATGCTTCTTTGTCTGCATGGTCATGTTGCTATGTTCCACTAAGGAAAGAGGAAGGAGAGAAAGATCAGGAGCAGATTGTAAAGCACAAATTGGTTCTATTGATGAAAATGGGACAGAGATATAACAGAGATCTTTTGTCGCTTCTTCTTGAACTTTGCTCTCCAATTCATCTCATGCCTGTCTTTGACAGAGAATAAATCCCACGTATATTGGGTGAAGAATCATGCTGGAATAAGATTGA